ATAGAAACAGAGCAGGGCCTGTCCAGGGATAGGCCAGCTTTCAGAGCCAAGGATCGAGCTGTAGAGAATAGTATCCTGGTGGATTTCCCTTTGATTTGCTAAAACCGTGGAGCAAAAGAGGGAAATTCTTTTGTCTTTACGCCCTCGTTCAGGTGGCCTATGGAAGAAATGGCCTTATGCCACATACAAACCCACACCTGATCCCTGCTTAGGGTCTCTGTTGATGTATCTGTTCTTTGCCAGCTAACTAGTCAGATGAACTGATGATGATGAACCAGTGTTCCTAGTGTGGGTGGTGCTGCTGCTAATGTTAGCTCTCCCAGTAACCAGCCACACTTAAACAGGGGCTTTAGGAAACAGAATGACTTAACTCAGAGATTCGAAATTTGAGTGTGTATCAGAATGACGTGGAGAGCTGGCTAAAACAAAGAATTCTAGGCCCAGGACTGCTGTGTAATTTGTGGGGCCCAAAGTAAAAATGCAGGATCGCTTGTTGAGAAACTAAACCAAGCCCTTCTAAGTGTGGAGCCCTCCAAGACGGCACAGGTTACACACCCATGAAGCCAGCCCTGGATGGGCCCCGCCCCCAGGGGTCCTGATTCAGAAGTTCTCAGGTGGGGATTGACAATCTGCTTTTGTAACAAGTTCCCAGGTGATGTGAACGCTGCTACTTGTAGGACCATGCTGAGAAGCATTGTCTCAACTCAAGGTCCTATGAGTGACCCTAATGCTGGGGAAATCAGCCTATTTTGACAGGTGGTGTCTTATTAGGGGGATGGGTGAGAAGAGGTTTTCGGCACCATTTAAATCATACCGGGGATTGACAATCTGCTTTTGTAACAAGTTCCCAGGTGATGTGAACGCTGCTACTTGCAGGACCATGCTGAGAAGCATTGTCTCAACTCAAGGTCCTATGAGTGACCCTAATGCTGGGGAAATCAGCCTATTTTGGCAGGTGGTGTCTTATTAGGGGGATGGGTGAGAAGAGGTTTTCGGCACCATTTAAATCATACCAGAGAGGTGACAACCCTCTCCAGACAGAGGCCAGTCCTGTGGTTTCTGGCCTGTGGAGAAGATATTTTCTC